AGAAAGCACTGACTCAACCCCTCTCCTCCCGACAGAGTGCTGGGAACCGGCTGCGTGTGCTGCAGAGGGCCCTGAAAACTCCCCTGGGGAATGCTGCACTGCTGTCCCGGGAGGCTGCAAGCCGCTTGCGCAGGTACCAGGGGAGGGGCTGCACGCTGGATTTCCAGAGGAGTTGATTCTCTGGGAGGTGGGGGGGTTGTCTGGGAGGTTTCCAAGTGGGATTCATTCTCTGGGGAGCCTCATGGGGGGTGGTTTCTAGGAGGTTTCTTGGAGGGCTCCTTGGAGGATGGGGGGTTTATTCTTCAGGGAATAGGGAGCTCTGGGCAGGAATTTCTGGAGAGACTCTCTGTTTTGTTTTTGTTTTTTGTCTCTCTGAGAGGGTCTTTTTGGAGGATCCCTGGGTGGGGCAGTTCTGCTCCTTGGAGGGGGGCAGCAGGACACTTGGGGGGGTGTTCCTCATGCCCTGTGTGGTACCCCCCCCAGGACAGCTGGACTGGGCTCTGGACTCACCCTGAAAGATGTGGTGCACCCTGATTTGGACCCCAGTGCAAAGCAGGTGAGTCTAACCCTAAGCCGCACCTTCTGATGCCCCCAGTTCATCCTGACTCCATTAGGTTTCCGATTTTGGGGTGGTGGGGGATATTTGGGGGTCTGTCTGGCCCCCCCATAATCCTGTCCCACTTTCCATGCCTTCCCCCAGCTGGTGCATGCTGTCGATCTCTTTGGAGCCACAGTGGAGGGGCAGCTGCTCAAATATGGCAAGAAGATCATTGGTGAGAGTATTTTGGAGATATGGGGCTAACTGGGAAAGAGGGAGTCCCAGCTCATCGCCCCCCTGTTCTCTATGGGGTGCAGAACACAGTGGTGTTGGGGGGTATCCCCAGGGCAATGAGGAGTTGCTGGCTGGAAGGTTGGGGGGGTGTCCTGTGGCTGTGGGGATTGGTGCATCAGAGAAAGAGTCAAAGGGGAGTTGTTTTGGGGGGGGGGGAGACAGGGCTGGCTCTGTGCTGATCCCTCCTCCCCCTTATCCCCAGACGAGCAGTTCGTGCTGATGCGGGTGGCAGACGCAGCCATCGATCTCTACACCATGGCAGTGCTGCTCTCCAGGTGCCACTTCAGGATGGGTGCTGCAGAGAGGAGGGGGGAGTTGATGTCAGGAAAGGAGGACTTTGAGAGGGATAACTGGAGGTAATGGGGGGGTGGGGTTCCCCTACATCCCAGGAGCAGTGTTCCCAGTGAGCTAAGCACTTAGGTGGCCTCCCAGGAGAGATTCAGATGCCTCCCAGATGATTGGCAGAGCACTCACAGCAACTACAGCTGGCAGCATCTGTTTCTGCTGGTGGTGCACACAAGTATATACCTCAGTGTGTATAATACAATTTATTCTGCACATTGATGGAAAAAATTAGAGGGAATGTTACCCAGGAGGCCTTTGCGGGGAGGGGAATAACCAAGGCTGGGGCAGCCTGGAGAGGGAATAGGTCAGAAAAGTTTCTTGGTCCCAAATTTGGGTTTTCTACCCTTTCTCCTGCCCCTCCTGTTCTAATGGATTGTGTTTTTTTTTTTTTTTTTTTTTTTTTTTTTTTTCCCTCCCCTCCCCCCACTCAGGGCATCACGCTCCCTGGCCCAGTCCCACCCCACTGCCCAGCATGAGAAGCTGCTCTGTGAGACATGGTGCGATGAGGTGAGAAGGGGCAGCCAGATCCATAGTTCTGTCCGTCCGTCCATCGTATATACCTCTCTGTCCATTCTTCTGTCAGCCTATGGTCTGTGCCCTCCACATCTAGCCACCTCAGTCCTATACTTACCCCTCTGTCTGTCCCTCCCTCCCTCCCTCCCTCCATCCCTTGGTCCCATACCCACCCCTTTGTCCATCCATTCCCATCCCTAGCCCTCCTCCTCTCACCATCCTCCATGCCTGTGTCCTCCATTTCTCTCCCTCCCTCCCTCCCTCCATCCTACTGGTTCCTAGTTGGGGGATGGGTAGGATTTGAGGTGGGGGGAGCCTCTATGCCCATCTCTCACACCTCTGCTTCCACTCTCTCCATCTTGCTCCAGGCCTACAAGCGTCTCTCAACCTCCCTGAGTACGTTGAACACGGATGGCGCCCGGCAGACCTTCCGGAATCTGCGGGGCATCTCCCGGGCCGTGGTGGAAAACGGTGGTGTGGTCTCTCCCAACCCATTGGGCTTCTGAGCCCTGACACTGCTCTGGCAGAGGCAGGAGGTGCATCTTGGAAACTCTGATCCCAAACTGCTCCCTCCCCATGCTTCCCAGCATACACTTCTGCACCCTACCCAGAATGTCTGGGAATGTGGGGGAGATCAAACAGTGGGGCACCGTACCTTTTTTCCTACCCCTAATGAGCTCTGCCTAACATGCTACCTGCAGGACATAGCTCTTCTTGGGAAATGCCTTAATGTGTTCCCGTTGAAGGAGGGGAGAAATATTTGTTTTGAGGCTCCCCAGGACACTGGGGAAATATTTGTTTTGAAGCTGCCCTGGTGCAAATGGGAAAAAATTTGCCTTGTAGCAGAAGAGAAATGTCTGTTTTGAGGTTACCCTGGAGGAGGGGGGAAACTGTTCTGAGAGGTGGAAGGTCTGTTTCAAGGTTCCCCAAGGAGGGAATTATAAGGCTCCCTTCTCCCCCAGGGAGAGAGCTGAACTTTAACCAGACGTGATTGCTTTATGTTCCCCCTATGACGGTTGGTTTTGGGGTGGAAGGGTGTGCCAGGCTACAGTGTGGGGTTGCCTACAAATCTTGCACCCGTGGGAGAAAATCAGAGACCCTGGATACTGCCTTCCAAGCAAGGGTGCCCCTGGAAATGGGATGACACTGATTCCAGCCAGCATCGGCCATACAAGGGGAAACCTGCCCAGCTGCCCTCTGCACCCGCAATGTTTCCTTGTCAGTAAACACAATATTTTGGATGACTGGATGCCCTAGAGCTTTCCTAGTGCTGCTGCTTTGGGAAATGGGCGGGGAGGGGCAGATATGGGGATCCGCTGGGACTCAAACTCTTGGGTGAAGTTCTTTGGTGGGGTCAGTGAACCCTTTGAGAGGGGTCTATTAATAGAACAGTGTCCCGATCCCCTGGGGATATGCTCCAGTCTTCCCAGATGGAGCTGCCCCTGTCCAATGCATGAAGGGGTCTAGAGGGCGGAAAGGAACTGTGGCTTGCATATGTGCATGATGCAGCCATGTGGTGGGGAGTTTCCCTGGCTGACAATACCTGGAGGATTCTGTGGAGGGGCAGGGAGCTGGGATGGAAATGCAGCAGAAATGGGCCATACATCCCATTCTTTCTCCCCTACCCCTGTTCCTTGTTATTTGGTCCTGGATATTTAATTGGATTGAAGGTTAATCCAAGGTTCTCATGCTCTATAAGCATCCCGCTGTTGGCCCTGCTTGTCATTAAGTGGCAGGAAGTCTTGTGAGCCAACAGCCCCTCTCAGTTCCCCATGCCACCTTCTTGGGCTTGGGCATAATCATATGGTGCAAAGTTGCTGTTAAGCAACACACAGAGAAATGGTTTCCCTGGCTATAGCAATCCCACAGTGCCTACAATGTCATGTAGCAGGAAGTTCCACTGATTTATCAGGTTTCTTTCATGGCCGAAGTGAGTTGAGCTTGTGATCTGTTCCTGTATATGGCATCTGTGAGCTTGATACTGGTGTCCAGTTCAGCTGTGTGCTCCTAAAAGTGGTGGTGCAGGAGAGGATACAGAGGGCTGGATAAAAACACCTTCTGGCACATTGGATACTTAGGCTATTGCAAGTACATATAATATCTTAATATAAACGTAACTTGTACATTTAATATCTGTATATTTTCATATATATGGAACAACAATACATCCACGTAATATGTAATACTAGCAGTTTTACTGGTCATTGCTCAGGTTCTTAATTTAGGTTTTTGGGCGGGTTTGGAAAATAAAAAATGATTAAAAACAAGTAGTCCTCTAGCACCTTTAGTGACTAACAAATCTATTATGTTATGAGGTTTCATGGGTAAAACCCGCTTCATCAGATGAGTATCCATGAAAGCTCAAGATATAATAGATTTGTTAGCCTCTAAGGTACCACCGGACTGCTCATTGTTTTTAACTATTTAAATGCCTGTATTTTTCAAAAACTAAGGCAAAAAGTTTATTAATAAAATAATTAAGTGATTAAAACAGAGTATGACAACTGTCTCTATTTTATCTCTGTTCTGTAAGGTTTATTGAGAAGCAATCCTAATCCAGGGCCAGTCCATCTTTCTGGCTCATCTTGGTTCAGTCTCAACATTTGCTCACTGGCCAGGATTGTACTTGATTTGGTGGTTCTTTCTTTTCTCTGTGGTTTTGGGAGAAGCAAGCATATCCCATTTTCCAGGCACTACCAAACCTGACCTTGCTTTAAGTTAGGATAAGAGGAAACTTCATTCCGAATTTGATGGCCAAAGCTCTTACCATTTAGGCGTTCTTGAGCAAACGCTCTAAATATATAGTAGAAAATCTCTCTCTCTTAAAAAAAAATTCCTGTGGAATGACAGTGTGACATTATCTGTATCCTCATACTACCACCTGCCTCCATCCTCAGCTGCTTGCTGTGGCTATCCTCGGCACCATCCCCTCTGGGCATGGGCTGTTCCAGCTCTGATTCCCGGTTCATACCCCGGGGGCTGCATCACTGTGGAGGAGCTGCTGGGGCTGGGTCCTCTCCCCCATCTGAGCCCAACCACACTCCACACCCCGACTGCACTCCTGCCCCCTTCTCCCTGGCCAGACACCTGCAATGAGAGGGGGGGGGTGAGCATAGCAAGCAGGGGGCACAGCACCCTAGTAATACACATTTGTATTTTGAATACCTATGTATATAATATGGTAGATGTAAAGAAAATATAAATTAATAATTAAGATAGTAAGCAGTTGTATGTTCCATTCAATATTACAGATATTTAATATATTTAAGGATAATACATCTTTATCATTAATATGTGTAAAGATAATCTATAATAAATGGTATGTTACAGCTAATATTATAGTCAGCCAATATATGTGAAGGTAATACATATTTCTAATTTAAAATAAACAGTTGTAGGTTATATATAATACAAGAACATAAAAATGTCCGTACTGGGTCAGACCAAAGGTCCATCTAGCCCAGTAGCCTGTCTGCCGACAGTACCAGGTGCCCCAGAAGGTGTGGACCGAAGACAATGATCAAGCAATTTGTCTCCTGCCATCCTTCTCCCGCCTTTGACAAACAGAGGCCAGGGGCACCATTCCTTACACCCTGACTAATATCCTTTTATGGACCTAACCTCCATGAATTTATCTAGCTCTTTTTAAAAGTGTAATAGTCATAGCCTTCACAGCCTCCTCTGGCAAGGAGTTCCACAGGTCGACTGCGCTGTGTGGAGAAGAACTTTCTTTTATTAGTTTGAAACCTGCTACCCATTAATTTCATTTGGTGTCATTTGGTAAGAAAACTTACCTGGCATTGCACAAGGTGGAGGGGGCTATGTGACATGCCCAGCGGCTTCTCTCCAGGGCTGGTTCAGGGTGAAGGTGGGGCACATCACCTGGTTGGCAGCTGCTTCCCCGGGAACATCAGGGGGCTGACTGCACAGGCTTGCAGTAGGATAAAACTCATATATTTAAAATTACCTTGTAACATTTTAATATAATCAACAAGAAGAATTAAAATTAGTCTAAACATTTTTAGAGTCCTGAATGAAAATGTTTCTAAACTTTTGTTATGCTGGAACAATTCCCCCCTAATATTAGCTAGGTTGGCCAGACCAGGTAAGGTAATGGTCAAACTGATCTTTAAACTCTATGAATTAGTGGTAAGAAACTCATGTGGCAGGATAACCACTCATTGAGGTCAGATAACCGAATGGCAGGGAGTTCTAAAGGCGATCTGAGATTTAAATTCATTGTCTTTCCCTTTCTTTGTTCTCTTATTGCAGAAGACAAATATGAACATCACTACTTCAATTATTGTCACAATCTCATGATTTTGAAGCTAACCTTGTGATTTTTGATGTACCTGACTCAGGATCTTTGAACACTTGGGGCTGGCACATACTGTGAAAGTGACTTAAGTGTCAGTTTCACTTCTGTTTATAAAGTCACTAGTCCATTATTGGCAGTAGTTGTAACATCCCTAGAACTGTGGACCACACCACAGTATAAACTCAGAAGGCCTTGCCCTGGCATGTTTCCAAAAGTTAAATGATCTATTCCGATTTTGGCAAACTACAGAAAGTAAGTTGCCTCTGGAATCGTATTTAAAGGCCCCCATCTGAAATGGCACATCTGTCCCCAACCCCCCCTCTCTGGGGCAAACTCCCCACATGTGCTCTTTTGCGACCCCTCTTCCTTCTTCTCTACTGCCCCCCATACTTCCCCAGGGCCTCTCTGCTGGCCTTTGCTTCCTTCCCCCACGGGACTAGAGGTCTGTCTGCCTCCTCCAGGCCCTTCCCCCAAGGCTGTCTCTTGGTGGGGCACTTTGGGGAGGAGCAAATTAAGAGGGCTGGTTTTGGAGGGCAGGGAAGGAGGCAGAGGAGTGGTGGAGGGAGCATGGGGGGAGACCCTCTTGGGCGTGTTACTCATGCCAACTTTCTGTGGATTTTTTGGGAGGTGATTTATTACTTTGGGGGAGCACCCCCATACCCTGGGGCGAAACTACACTACCCAAAATCCTACCGGTCTTCCAATCTTTTAAGCCAGCAGCTGTCGGGAAGGCAGATTATGGGATTAGTGTGTGTCCTTTCCCCCACACACACACCCACACCAGGCGCTGCAATGCCAAGGAAACGGAAAGGTAGGCCCCCCCCCACAGATAACCCCTAACCAAGCATCTCCGGGATAGCTCTGAGGGGAGCATAGAGGTATCCCCAATTACCCTCAAACGCAGTAACTGTGGGAGTCCTGGGTATGAGCCATCTAGGTTGGGTGAGGAGAGAGTGGGCAATAGGGTTTTTTCCCCATGAGCTTGTTGGGGTTATTGTGTCACACAGGGCAGAGCTGGTGGTGGTCTGCAAGAGAAGTGTGTTTGTGTGTTGTGTCAGAGCTGTGGTGTAAGAGAAAGTGTGTATGAGTAGGGATGGCAGGGGGCAGCTTGTAAGGAGGGAGGTGCCTGTATGGGAGTGTGTGGGGAGGTGGTGTGGGGTAGGATGGGGATAGGGGTGTGTATGGAGATGAGGGGTGTGAAGTTGAATAGGAAAGAGGCAGGCATTTGTGTGGGATTGTGTGGGGTTGGATGGAGAGAGGTGTGGCATGTGGGAGTTTGTATAATGTTGTGGGGTTGGATGAGGGATAGGTAGGCCTTTGTGTAGTGTTGTGGGATTGGAAGTGGGTGCAAAACTGTGGGAGTTTGTGTGTTGTGGGCTCACCTGAGTGACAGATGTGTGTGCATATGGCATGTGTGAAGGCATGAGCATTCATGTGCTCTGTGCAATTGTGGGGTTGCATGAGAGCATGGCAGGTGCGGAGGCTGTGAGGGTTTAGGAGGCTGTGTAGAGGTGTGTGTTGCATACAGTTGTGTGTGTGTCATAGCAATTTGGGCTGTATCCTTTGGAGAGGGGGGTTTTATGAGCTGGGGTCATGTGTGAGAGTGATCTAGGCCAGTTTGTGTGTGTGTGTGTAGGATAGGGTTTGTGGGAGCCCGCAGGTATATGTGGGAGTAATAATGAATTGTGTGTGTGTGTGTGTGTGTGTAGGATGTGGGGGTGTTGTAGTGTCAGGTTTTGAGAGTGTTCAGTTAGGTAGGGGTTTGTGTGTATGAGAGACAGAGTTCATGGGTGCCGGTGTGTGTATTTGGGGGTAATGATGAGGGGTGTGTGTCTGCACTCTCCACCACTTGGTCTCCGCTCTGTGGTGCCGCATCCCAACACCTTCCCCCCAAAATGTGCTCCAACCTGGAGCCCTGAAAACATCCCCTCTTGTGCACC